AAAAAACCCCAATCTTACCATAAGCAAGAGTTAAGTTCCTATGGCTTATTTCTGGTCACATAGCGATCACCCAACTTCTAAATAAAGACTCAAAACTCTTCTAATATTAAACATTGAAATAAATGTGTGCTATACAATATTTAAGAAAGGTTATTAAAAACAGGTAAGATCATTGTTTCCAAACCTGCTTATTCAGGATCCTGGGTGGCCAGAGCCTCTCCCAGCAGCTCAGGGTGCAAGGCAGGAACATACCCTGAACAGGACACCCTTCCAATATGTGGCGCGCGCGTGTGTGTGTGTGTGCGTGCGCGCGCACATACAGAGACTTGCACAATGCAGACAAACCAATAACGAAACAATGTTTTTCAAGGACCTGCTGTATTTAAATTTTCAAGCGTATATACTTTCATAAATAGCAAAAACACTAGAGATGCTCATATTTGGAGAGAGGGGGAATGCATCACAGAAAGTGGTAAGCAACAGAGGAGAAATCCTTGGAGATGTTAGAACTCAGGGACAAGAGCTGTTTTCAACTAAAGAGAAGCATTTGTCAGTCTTATGGGGGTGTTGCACATGAACTTGACCTTGAAGAATCAGTAGGCTAGGTATTATTGATTCATTATATATTTCACTCTGGAGTGTCTTTCTGCATATGAAGTATCATGCAGAGTTACTCTCGAACCGATTTCCTTCTCCTAGCCAACTCACCAACAGGCCCATTTACCGAGAAGTTAAATCTCTTGACTAGTTTGTATTGTATTGTCTGTGCCATCCAATCTTGTCATTACTGTAGATAAATTGAATTGCATGAGTTTATAAGGAGGGGGATTAAAATCCTGTGTGAATTGTATTGATTCTTAATAATCTTCATATTCTTCAGTTAGCCTCCATGGCCCTGAGCCTTCATACTAAGGAAATTGGAAATGTAAGCCAAGATTTATCCAGTGTAGCATTAATTAAGTAAAAAACTGGAATAGCCCAAATATCAAAAATAACACAAGTGAGTAGACTATATGAAGATATATATCACAGCCTTAAAGATACTGACAACGAATTTTTAATACCTTGTTGGAAGTGTATAAGTGCAAAGAAAAAAAAAACGCAAAATTATATTCAAGAGAGGCAAAAAAATAAGTCCATTTGGATCCCACCCTCGATATGTCACAAATTCCTCTAAGAGATTGAAGACACGTCTTCATGTCAGCTCTAACTCCAGTTTCCTTGATCAAGAGTTTGGGACAAAGGAGATTTTTTTAGTCATCTTTTGGGTTATTTCCCCTTAAGCTTGTATTCTGTTGAAATTTTCCTACAGTAAAGATTAGGCATTGGGGTCTCCACATTGAGTGCTTGACAAAGAAACAGATAAATAACAGGTGAAAAATGGAGTCTGTGCTCAGAGCCTCCAGTGAGTGTAGGTATGGGCCGGGACCAAGCCCCAAACCAAGTCTGGGTATAACTGCACAGTTCTATTCCTGATTGAAATTCCTAGATTTAATTGAAACTAAAACAGACTTTAGGCTTTGAATTTTCCTACCCACAAGATAGTAATGGGACTAATCCTTAGGAGAAAACCGTATCCATGTTTGGGGAGCAATAACCCAAGAGTAGTCCCAGCAAGCTTGCTTTCATTTAGAATAAACATTTATTGAATAACATTAGGAGTCTTGCATTGCAACAGTGCCAACCACAGTTGGACCCTGTCGTCTAGGGCTTGTGTACTTTGCAAACTATAAGTGTGCAGATGTCTGCACTTTTGATACTTGTCTCACTGGCTGTGGACATTGCCTATCCTCAGGTCTTGCAGCCCTGGAAAGGTAAATAAAGAACCATGACAACCTTTTATTCCACATTCTGCTGCTGGGCTTCTGGTCACCTGCTTGCTGGTGCCAACCTGCCCTGGCCTAATCAAAGCATCAAAGTGATGAAGAATGTGAAAATACCTGTGTGGGTGGGGTTGAGGGGAAGGGCATGCAGAGGTCAGTAAGGCAAAGCCTTTGGCCGCTTCTAGGAGAACTTGCCAAGACTCCCTACCTGTTTTCTGCTGCTCATATCCTTCTCATGCTCTTCTTTCTATTGTGCTCTGTGCATAGTCCAAGAGTAACTGCCCTCTGCAACTATAGCCCAGTTTACCAGTGACCTTCATCTAGCAACGCCTACCAGGCTGCACCTTTCCCATCCTTCCTTTGAAACAGCTTTGAGAATTTTGGACGTTATAAAGACAGGATTTCTGGCAATCACAAGACTGATAATCTCCCAACTATGATCTAGATTGGTTTTAAAATATTATTCTGGCTCAAATTTAGATAAAATGGTGAACAATCTAAGATACAAAGATTAGTTTAAAGAATATGTCATCAGTCGAACTGAAAACATGACAAATGGACAGTGTAACCAAGTATTATTTTGTGTTTTTAAATTTGCTTTAAGAATAGTAAAATGTGTCATTTTTAAAATATGGGTTATTCATGGCTTATTATAAATCCTGAGTGGGCCTCTGACAGGCAAGTTCCCAGTAAGATTCCGGGTTGATTTTCCTCCTGCCCAGTCATGGTATATGCAGGAAATGCAGCCTTATTTTAATAGCAGCTTATATTAAACAATTTTTAAAGTAAGTCAACTGTGATAGTTGTCCTTTTTGCAATATATATTTGTACTTGGATCCTGTGCATTAGCCTGGTTATGTCTGAGATAAAGCAGTACATGGGATTTAAGCACCTTATTCTCGACATATTCTCTTCAGTATAGAAACCAGGAGACCAGTCAGCTCTCCTAGATTTTTGTTAAAAACGTCTTATGAAAAGTGCCTGTCCCAAATAGGTTATGCCTCACCTCCAAATCCCTGAGACTTCCACATTCTTGTGGAGCAGGGAAGCCTGAAAGCATAAGGAGGCCTCATGCTGAAGGCATTGCACTCCTGCAATCATGCAAGCTTTTGTCCCACGGCCATTAGACTCTCCAGGTGTGCCAGTATCAAAGCTGGCGGTGCTGAGTGCTCCTGATCAAGATGCTTCTGAATGCACATTCCCCTCGGGTGCCTTTTGATGTGCTTCATCGAGGAATGAAAGCCAAATAAAGGAATGAGAGTTCCTGTTTATTACCTCGTTTTTCATGCTGTTCTTCGGGGCCCTTCTATATCTTGAGAAAGTGTGAAAAGACTGGGATACTACCTGAGCAGAAGACGGAAGCACCTACTTCCTACTAACTCTAGGGTCCATGAGATATTGACCTCAGGTAAAGGAGTGTGTGTCCCTAAAGTTTTCTGGAGGAAAGGGATATCACCTGGCCTCTAACTTTCTCACGATGCCATCATGTCGCCTTCTGCTAGAGGCTGGTAATAGAGTAACTGCAGCTTTTTCTCCATCACTCTGGACAGTCCTCTGCCTCTCAGTTGAGTGTCCAAGACTGGAACAGAAAGGGACCGTAGTCATAATGACACAGGCTCTCTCTTCCTTTTATGGGTGGGGTAACTGAGGCTGAAGCTTAGATTTGGTGACTTACCCATCATTGGCAGTTTGTCAGTGGCAGAGCCAGGAATATATTGCTCCTAAGAGTTACTCCTGACTGCGGCATGCTGGTGATGAAACAGGGTGAGATAGACAAACAGCAGAGGAGACTTTAAATACATTGAATCTCAGTGCAGTAAGAGAGTCCCCAACAGAACTAGGACAGCTTTTGCTGCACAACACCCAGGGTGCCCAAGCTTGTTAAGTTTTAGAAGATTTTGCAGTATCCCTGAGAAATTCACTATTCTGCTTGATTGGTACAAAATACAGGAACTTGTTTTAGAAAAGCTATGGGATAAGACTGCCCTCTAGTGGGCTGTTGGTGTCATTGTTATAGCCACATTCTCATGTACTTGAGTTCAGTGTTGCTTTCTTAAATGCTGCATCCACATTGAGTGATCCTATGGAAAGAATTCAGATTTTATTCTTAAGCACTTTGGCCCATAGGGACTTTCTTCATCTTTGAGCACTAGCCATCATTTGCCCATCTTATTGGAGGTTTTATTTTTTGTATTGTTTTTAACCCTGTGTTACAGGTGTCTAACTTTCCTAACAAGATTTGGGCTGCAAAAAGCAAGGGTTATGTCTCATGTCTTTTTCTTCCACAGTTTCTATCCCATTGTCCACTTAGCTGGACATAAAATTCGAAGGCTAATTGGAATGAAAAGGGATCCTTTTCTCCAAAAAAGAATCTCACCACTTCTCATCTGTTCCTAAAACATTCTAATCTCATCTCTCTGATCAATAGTTCCCTAAGTGGTTGAATCATCAGAATCCCTCAGAAAACTTTCAGAACTCAGTTTCCTGGGCCTCACTCCAGCCTTGAATCAGTCTCTGTGGTTTGAGCCAGGAAATTTGCTTTACAAACTTCCCAAGTGGTTTTTGATGTGCAGCCAGGTTTGGCAGCCAACTGCTCTAAATCCCCATTTGCAATTATTTCTCATAGCTTTTTCCTTTGACAGAGTTTCCAAAGGTCTTCAGCTTATGTCAGTTATTAAAATTGACCATTTTGAGATTTCCTTCAGAAATATTCAGTATGCTGTTCCAACTGCAATACTGGGTGACATGGGAGGGACGAAGGACCACAAGAGAAGGACCAAAGGCATTCGCTTTGGTTGCCAATGACTCTGTGTTCATAGCAGAAAATACCGAAACCATTACCTTTATGCTGACTGAGCAGGTTGTTGGTTTGTCATTTATTTTTAATGTTTAGGCTGCATAGGGAGACAAAGGTTAATTGAGCACCCAGTTATTTATTTTCACTCATGTATTCTAGCTCATCTGGTTCTCAAGAGAACTGCAAGGTAGCTAGCATTGCCTTCCCCCTCACCCCCAAAATGGGAAATTTGAAGGTTAGGAAAGTTATAGTAACTTGCTCAAAGTCACATAAATGGTGACTGTCAGATTCTACATTGGAGTACAGGTCTGATTTCCAAGGCCAGCTTTTAGAAAGGTGAAAGGACCAGAGTGCCAACCTGCTCTTTTTCACTCTGCCAGGCCAAGCGAGCAGTGCAGCGGGGAGCCACTGCAGTCATCTTTGACGTGTCTGAAAACCCAGAAGCTATCGATCAGGTAAATTCCTTGGGCCATGCCAATACTGCAGTCTTCCTGAGAGAAGTACTTTTTTAGTCAGCTTGGCTTGTCACAGTTATGTCATCTTCATCTCAGGACCTTTGCATTTGTCTGCTGACAGTAGCTATCCCTGTTTGTAAATATACTCCAAGGCAAATCTTTTGAGGGGGTTAAAGAGCCAGGAAGTTGAGCTTGGGGGGCATTTTCAATGACCTTTCTGGGCTTTCAGCCTGCCCAGTCCATCCTAAAAAAACCATCATCCTCAGCCTTGCCCTTCTGGGAGCTCCAAGGCTATAATGCTTGAGGAGTTTGAGGATTTCCAAACGGGTATTTAGTATTCTTTTCCTCCAGCCTTTCTTTCTCTCTCCTACTTCTTAAAGTAAGCACGTCTTCTAACCAAGAACATTTCTTCTTTCTTAGCTAAACCAGGGCTCGGAAGACCCGCTCAAGAGGCCGGTGGTATATGTGAAGGGCGCAGATGCCATCAAGCTGATGAACATCGTCAACAAGCAGAAAGTAGCTCGAGCAAGGATTCAGCACCGCCCCCCTCGAGTGAGCCTCCACCCTGGCCAGCCACGCCCAGCATCTTCTCTGCTGCTGCCTGAGCCTTTATTCCCTTTGGGCTTTGAGCTTTTGATCCTGTCTTCTTTCTGTCTAAAATGCTGATGCACCCTCAGGTTCCTACAGGTTTAGGTCAGATTAAAGGCTGGAGGTGAGAGAGAAATTTCACCAGTGTTTTTCGTAGAGAGGATTTGAAAAGTCCTTCCAGAAATAGACAATTTGTGCCAAGATGTCTCCGGTCTCTTCCATCTGGTGTTCCCTCTTGGTAACCTCTTGTCCCTCTTTGTCTTCTGTCCCATCTCCCTCTGAAAGGCTAACTGAGGAGGATTGAAGGGAAGGAATAACCAGAATTTCAGCTTCCCATGTCTTCTTCCTTCCATGTGACCTAGACTAAAGAAAAGGCCTGTACGTTCTTCTTCCCATAGGGTAAATTGCATTTTTGAAACCCCTTAAACTTATATTTGAGTCTAGAAAAGTTAGCTTTCAGCTAGGATTGAAATCCATGATTTCCAAGTGGTTAATGAATAGTGTTTAAAGCTAATGCGTGTTGAAGGGACACTGCTGGCCATTAACTCTTGTCTGGCATCTTTTGCCCAAACCTTAGACAGAAGATTCTAGGAACCTGGGACAGGTGCCCCATATATGGTTTATTTCCTACTCACAAACATTGGAATATTCACACATAGGATGATTCTTGTATGCACAAAGTGTCTGAATACCTGCAGCAATCGATAGCAAAACTCTATTCCTGTTGTCTAAAGGCATGTCCTAGATGAGGTGGCTTCAAGGTCTTAGGAAGCAGTGAGCCATGAGGAAAAGGTAAGAACTAAAAGTAGAGGAAGTTTGCAGAACTGACTTGCTGGCTTCTTTTTAAAGGAATAAAAGAGCGCTTTGGTAAATATGACTCATTGTAGTGGAAGCTGATATTTGTGGAAACAGTGTTCAATTTTCTGAGTTGTTGTAAACCATTAATTATATGGTTAGTAATCACTGTTCCCTCAAAACATGACACTCACTCCTTTGTCCCATAAATGTGATATTTGTGTTTATTTGGAAGGGCCTCTCCTACCCGTTACAGCATACTTCGTGGTATTCCGTAGGGAGTTAGGCTTTATGGCCTGAGTTCTCTTGGCTGCTAGGAGACCTGGCTGAGACGGATGTAGGCCTCCCCCAGCCACTCTGGAGGGTACTGTCTGGGCCTGGATAGCATACCATGTGTGTGCTAGCAGAACCTCAGGTGGTTCCTGGAAATGAGGGGATGCGTACCCCAGGTGCCTCATCCTTATTGCAACGTGGGCCAACACAGCTGGTGCGTCGATCCTCAGACTGAAGAGAGCTGTGACTCACTGTGTCTGTCTTCTGTTCCAGCAACCCACAGAGTACTTCGACATGGGGATTTTCCTGGCTTTCTTTGTCGTGGTCTCCTTGGTCTGCCTCATCCTCCTTGTCAAAATCAAGCTGAAGCAGAGACGCAGTCAGGTAATACCTCCGAGCAGCCCATGAACAGTGCTTCCCGCTGCTCTGCCACTGGTGAAAATCAGGGCTGGGGCCCGAGCTCTGCAGCTTGTTCCGGGGGCCTAGAAACAGCAAAGATGGAGAAAAACTAGAGCAAAGCTTATAACACAGTCTTCTCTGTTCCAAGAGGTCCAGTCCTACAAAGGCTGAGCATTGGTGTTGCCAGCCAGGAGTTTTTCCAAAGAAATGTTTAAATGTTCATGTGGAACCTTAGAGCCTTGATCTGGGATCAGCAGCATCAGTATCACCTGGGAGCTTGGTAGAAATACAGAATCTCAGGCTCTGCCCAGACCTGCTGAATCTGAATCTGCATCTGCCAAACTCTCCAGGTGCTTCTCTATAAATTGAGTCGACACTCTAGTGCCCCAGCTGGCACATACATCACTGTGTAGGAAGGAAGGATTTGAAGATGGAAGGAGAGAGGATAAGTGAAAATCTAGACTTTCAAATGGGTATTAGTGTGACATCTCAGGAGACAGATAACGGACCTGGTGCAGTCTGTAGAGAAGAGAATCAGCAAGTTCTCACAAGGGTTGAGTGGCCATCACTAACAGAACAGTGGCTGGTATTTGTCAAGCATGTCTGATTTTCCAAGTGCTGAGCACACACACGCATTGTCTCATTTGCCCTCAGAGCTTTCTTCAGTGTAAAAAGGAGGAATCCTTGGCACAGAGCAGGTTAATGACTCAAGGTCTTCCAGGGTTGGCCAAGTAATTGAAGTAGACTCTGCTGGTCCTGCCATTTGGGAAAAGCCTGAGTTGATGTCGTGGACACTCAGGAGTCTGGCCAATGTGTGCTGTGGCAGTCTGAATTTTTAGTGATTTCTCATAAGTCTGTCCTGGCCTGATAGACTAGCATTTGCCCATCCTGATTCATCAAGTGCCATGGCCCTGGGGATGACTACAACTGTTAATACTTACCAGACCCTAATACGGACCCCATTCTGCCACGCAGAATTCCATGAACAGGCTGGCTGTGCAGGCTCTGGAGAAGATGGAAACCAGAAAGTTCAACTCTAAGAACAAGGGACGCCGGGAGGGGAGCTGTGGGGCTCTGGACACACTCAGCAGCAGCTCCACGTCTGACTGTGCCATCTGCCTTGAGAAGTACATCGACGGAGAGGTAATGGCAGAGGCCAGGCCCATTCTGGTTGGGGCTGAGGTGGACAGGTCAGCAGAAGCCCACAAGCCCTAGCAGGGCAGGGCCCTGTATTCATTTCCCACAGCTCTGCAGGAGCAGAGGGTTTTAATGCCTGTGTCTCAAGGGGATGGCCTGAGACATTCTGAATACTATTTCCCCATAAAAGGGGGTGGCCATGGTGCAGACACACTCCTCCAGAGGACCCAGCTGAATGTAGGTGATTTTGGAAGTTGATCAGAAGTATATGAGAGGCCAGAAAATGTCTGGTTTTAAGAACATTCTCACATGTTGACCTAATTTTAGAATTGCTCTTCTGAAAACTCTTAAGACCTGTCTTGATACAAACTTTTACAAAACATTTGTAAAAGTGTAGAACATTTGTTTTTATTTAGAAAGAAATGAGGGGTGTGATGTCCCCTTTTTCTCTTCTAGCTTTTTATTCTAAATTTTCAAACCTTCAGAAATTGTACAATGAATCATACAGTGAATTTTGTATCATTCACCTAGAATCAGCCATTGTTGCCATTTTGCTATGTTTGCTTAATCTCTAGGTAGAGGTATACATACATACACATTGAGAGAGTAAACCATTGCAGACATTTGTCACCCCTCTGATGAAAGTGTTCCACTGCTCTGTAGACTATTGGATGAAAAATGAATTTTTGCAGAGGCCTTTGCGTTAATAGCCTTGCATGGCCTCTAGGGGCAGACTGCCTGGGTTCTAATCCTGACCCAGGCAGCTTCTAGCTTTGTGATCTTGGGCAAGTGACTTCATTCTCTATGCCTCTGCTTGTGACATGGGCCCAAGACTGACTGACATTTCAATTGTCATGAAGTTTACATGAAAAAATACAGGTAGAACCCTTGCCAAGGTCAAGCACAGCATTAGGTATTTGAATACTATTATTCAAACTGAGCTGGTCAGAGAATGGGGGGAAAAAAGGAAATTTAGCAAATTTGGAGGGTGCTTGGGCTGAGGAACTCGAGAGATGGTTCTGCCTCAGAAAACCCCATCACCTCCTCTCCACATGGGCTGCTTTGTTATAAACCATGTGCCCCAGGTAAGTGTTGAGAGTCCAGCGAAAGAGAGGACGGGAGAGCTTTACCTCTTTGCTGTCCCAGCTGTCAATCATGACTTCTGGGCATCTTCCTTTCTACACGTTCCATTGGAGTACTCAGAGGTGGCCACCATCCCAAAGATGCAGAAGCCCTTTCTCTACACACCCAGGCTTCCCATCTGCATTAGCACACGGCGTTTGTCTCCCCTTGTGTGTGGCATGAATGTGAGTGCCCTCCTCTAGCCATCAGAAAAGAGCCTGCTTCTGTGTGCTTCCTCCCTTAACACTGAGGGCCATGGTTCGGCCTGGCTGGTGGGCTATTTCCTTCTCCCTAGAACTCATGTATGGGCCCTGACTCCAGGGAATTGAGCCTACCTATATATAGCTAGAGATGGGGATGAGGTGGGGAGGGAGCCTCCGTCCACACTGGGCTCCGCAGGAAGAAGCGCGTGCTGGGCTGAAGGCAGAACTGCCCCCACCTATGCCCTCCCCTCAGGCTGTGTCCTCTCTCCCTTCCTAGGAGCTGCGGGTTATCCCTTGTACTCACCGCTTTCACAGGAAGTGCGTGGACCCATGGCTGCTGCAGCACCACACCTGCCCCCACTGTCGGCACAACATCATAGGTAATTATCACCCATCTCCATCGTTGCTAAAGAGTCACTATTCCTACTGAGTGCCCAGCAAGAATGTGACACATGATACAGCCTGGGGAGGGAGTAAAGCCACTGTAGCATTGCCATCTGGACTTGGGGGCATGGAGACTGTGCGTTTTGGAGGTCACCAAGCTTCTAAACCCTTAAGAGAGCCTGGCATAGAGAATTTCCCTGAGTCTGATTTTCGTTTTCACATGAACTGGCTTCCTGACCTTGCACAAAGGATCTGGCCTCTTCAGGCCTTAGGCCTGCAATCCCTTTAGCAGGAA